TGGAAGTGCTAGCCTCACAGATCTCTAAATTATCTTCAGAATTGTTCTTTTATTATTGTCTAGATAAATAATACCAGGCTTCCATCAGTCCCTATTAATCTTATCAAACATTTATTTGACCGAATTCTTGGTGTTTTCTCTCAGACATGCCTTTTAATTCTTTATATTTTGGCCAGGTTGAGAATTTTGCAAATCTTTAAGTTCTGCTTCATTTTTTATTTTAAATTCTTTGTTTTTTGCTTTGTCTGTTATAAGCAGTCACGAGAAACCCTTAACACTTTGTTTAGAGATTTCTTCCATCAAATATCCTAGTTCAGGGGTCCCTAACCCCCAGAAAAGGGACTGATACCAGTCTCAGTTGCGGGTCCCTATTACTCGCATTACTGCTTGAGCTTCACCTCCTATCACATTAGCGGTGGCATTAGATTCTCATAGGAACGTGGACCCTACTGTGAACTGTGCATGTGAGAGAAATAGGTTGCACACTCCTTATGAGAATCTAATGCCTGATGATCTGTTGCTGTCTCCTGTCACCCCCAGATGGGACTGTGTAGTTGCAGGAAAACAAACTCAGGGATCCCACTGATTCTGCCATATGGTGAGTTGTAGAATTATTTCATTATATGTAATTAGTAATCAAAATAAAGTATACAATAAATGTAATGCCACTGAGTCATCCTGAAACACCCGCCGCCTACCGCCCTTAGTCTGCGGAAAAACTGTTTTTCACAAAACTGGTCCCTGGTGCCGAAAAGGTTGGGGACCCCCATCCTAGTTCATTGCTCTTAATTCTGCCATCCACATGGTACTAGGACATGGACACAATTCATTGAAGTTCTTTGCCAATTGGTAACAAGAAAGGCCTTTCCTCCCAGTTTCCAATAAGATACTCCTCATTTCTGTCCGAGTCCTCTTCACAATAAACTTTACTGTCCATATTCTACCAGCATTCCGACCACTTCAGTAATCTCTAAGATTTAGGCTATCTCTACAGCTCTCTTCATTGTTGCCCTCATCAGAATAGCGCTTTATGATCTAGCCTCTAGGTCTTATCTAGTTCTATTAATAAAACTGTTTCCACAATTTTAGATACTTGTATAGCAGAATTCGGCTTCTTGGTTCCAATTTCAGTTTTAGTTTGTTTGTGCTGCTATTAACGAAATATCTGAAACTGGGTAATGTATAGAGAACAGACATTTTATTTCTCAACAGTCTGGAGGCTAGAAATCGAAGATCAAGGTGCTGGCAGTTTCCATGACTGTTAAGGATTCAGTTTCTGCTTCCAAGATGGCACCGTGAATACTGTGTCATCATCACGTGGTGGAAGGGAAGGAAGAATAAAAATTGGAGCCGAACTCACTCCTTTAATCTGTTTTGTAAGAGTGCTAATCCCATTCATGAGGGTGGAGCCCTCATGGCCTAATCACCCCCTAAAGGCTCCACTTATTAATACTGTTGCACTGGGGGTTAAGTTTCAATGTGAATTTTGGGGAGGACACAAACATTCAAACCATAGCAGCTCTGATTCTATCACCTAGTTCTTTATATAGTTAATTATTGTTTCTGCATTGTCAGAGCATAAACCATAAATTCTCTCCTGCTTAACCATTATCTATTGTTTTACAAATAACTGTGACTAATCATCACTGCAAGTCCTTATGTTGATGTCTTTCTAGTTATTTAATTATTTTAAACGTGTTCTATGGTAGATTCCTCAGGAAGAGTACATGGCACAATATTCTCTAACATTCTTGCATGTTCAAAATTGTGTACTTTATGCTTGGAACTAAATTTTGCTGGGTAGGAAATCTTTGCTAATACTTTCTTTTGTTAAATATCTTAGCTATGTGAATCCAATTTCTTTTGACATAAAACATTGCTGTGGAAGATTTTAATGCTCATTTATATTTCTTTCCCTTGTAAATCAAGTCCTCCTTTTGCTTAAGGGATTGTTTTCCCTCTTTAAAATTTAAAGGAACATTTTACTAGCATGTTCCTTGGTTTTGGTCTTTCAGTGTTAATATTCTAAGGTACATGGGATGTTCTTTCAATATATACATTCAAATCTTTTTCTATATCAAAATTTTCTCGAATTATGGTTTTTAGTATTCTGTGTATTTGCTGGATTTTCCTCAGGGTCTCTTTTTATCTGTATTTTGGATATTCTTTGCCTAACTTCATATTTGTCATACTTGATATCTTATTCATCTTATTTCTTCTACATTTAACTTTTTCCTTTTTATTCTCCATTTATTTGCACTTCCTTCTAATTTAGTTTTAATTTTTGAAATTACTTTATTTCTGATACTGAGTTCTTTTGCCTCATTTCTGAGATCTTCTAATTCAGATTTATGTTGTTATTTTATGTCCTGCATCCTTTTTTAATGTCTTTTAGCTCATATTGAAATAATATACAGCTTTGACCAGTCAACTTGGAGAAGTCATAGAAAGCAGCTCAACTGCTCCAGCCCACAGCCCACTTAGTCTTTCTTACCACTGGCTGCTTGCACTCACCTGGGATTGGAGAGAGCAGAACCCTTCCTTATTTTAGATGCTCTTCATATCCTGGCTTATGGTGCTTTCTAGTGAATACTAGAAAATACTAGAATATGGCACTTTGGGGTTCTCCTATTGCTGAATCTATCAGATATTACTTAATTGCTTTGTTTAGTTTTTTTTTCAACATAGATGATGCTACCATGCAGGACTTGTAGCTGCTGACTGCGCTGTTATTTATAGCTCCTTCCAGCATCTTTCCCAACTCTTTTTTAAAAAAGAAATAAAACAGTTCATACTTATTTTTTGTACCTAATTTCCTGTCATTCTCTATTACAAATTGCTTGATTCATGTATTTCACTTAGACCATTTAATTGACATAGGGTGAACTATTGGTTACCAAGTCCTCACTATGTACCAGACATGCTGAGAACTTTACATATATTTTACGTAGTCCTAACTGCTCATCTCTTAGCTAAAGGTAGTAGTATGTCTATTCATAGGTATTAGAAACTAAGTACAGATTCAGTAAGCTATGTAAGGTCATGTAAAAAATGGAGGTTAGATTTAAACCAAGTGTATCAACTCCATGTTTTTTCCAGTAGACTGTACATCCTCCATGACCAGTAATATTGTTTGGCTCTGTGTCCCCACCCAAATCTCACCCTGTAGCACCCATAATTCCCATGTGTTGTCTGGGAGGCCCACTGCGAGATGATTGAATCATGGGGCCAGGTCTTCCCTATGCTTTTTTCACAATAGTGAATGGGTCTCACAAGATCTACTGGTTTTAAAAATAGTTTCTCAGCACAAGCTCTCTTTCTTTGCCTGCCACCATCCACATAAGATGCAACTTGCTTCTTCTTGCCTTCCACCATCATTGTGAGGCCTCCCCAGCCACGTGGAACTGTGAGTCCAGTTAAACTTTTCTTTTGTTAATTGCCCAGTCTCTGGTCTGTCTTTATCAGCAACACAAATATGGACTGATACAATCAATTTATTTTCTTTGAACTATTTACTCCTCTCCAGTTTATCTTCTGGGGAGTTTTGTTTTTACTTTTGTTTGCTTCAAATTTATTTATTTTAAAAAATGACATAAATAACATGCTAGTGTATTTTTCTTTTATATGAGAATGATTTTCCTATCAGACAGCTCTGATCGTGTTGCTTCTCTTTTGCTTAGCAATTTTTAGTGGTTCTCCTGTACCTTTAAAAAAACTTTAAAGTTTTTTAGTATGAAATAAAATTCTTCTAAGGAACTCACTCTTCTTACTTCCTGTACACTCATTTCTTGATCCCAATGTGTTTATTTAATTCTGAATTACCAGTAGTTCTTTCTGTATAGGATAAATTACTTTCTTATTTGCCTGCTGAACTTCTTTTCAACCTTCAAGAGATAGGGGTCTTGCTGTGTTGCTCAGACGGAAGTGCAGTGGCACAATTATAGCTCACTGCAGCCTCAGCTTCCCAGGTTCAATGATCCTCTCACATCAGCCTCCTGAGTAGCTGGGACCACAGGCAGGTGCCACCATGCCTCTTTTGTTGTTGTTGTTGTTGAGATGGAGTCTTGCTTTGTCACTGAGGCTGGAGTGCAGTGGCATGATCTCGGCTCACTGCAACCTCCACCTCCCAGTTTCTTTTTTTTTCTTTTATTATTATTATTATTATTATTATTATTTGAGACGTAGTTTCGCTCTTTTTACCCAGGCTGGAGTGCAATGGTGCGATCTCGGCTCACTGCAACCTCCACCTCCTGGGTTCAGGCAATTCTGTCTCAGCCTCCCATGTAGCTGGGATTACAAGTGTGCGCCAACATGCCCAGCTAATTTTTTGTATTTTTAGTAGAGACTGGGTTTCACCATGTTGACCAGGATGGTCTCGATCTCTTGACCTCGTGATCCACCCGCCTCGGCCTCCCAAAGTGCTGGGATTACATTTTTATTATTTTTTTAAGACAGGGTTTTGCCATGTTGATCAGGCTGGTCTTGAACTCCCGACCTCAGGTGATGTGCCCGCCTTGGCCTCCAAAGTGCTTGGATTATAGGCGTGAGCCACCATGCCCAGCCACCTCCCAGTTTCCAGCGATTTTCTTGCCTAGGTCTCCTGAGTAGCTGGGATTACAGGTGTGAGCCACCAGAGCCGGCTAATTTTTCTTTATTTAGTAGAGACAGGGTTTTGCCATGTTGGCTAGGCTGGTCTTGAACTCCTGGATCAAGTGATTCTCCTGCCTTGGGCTCCTGGGATTACAGACACAAGCCACTGTGCCTGGCACATTCATCACTTCTAAAGATAGTCGTAATAGGTTTTCTAAAGGAAACGTTGCTCTTGTTCAATTAATTTTTTACTTAATCAATTTTGAGATACCATAGACATCTACATGATTGTGAGTTTATTTTCCTTACCTAAAAAGTTGATTCTGTCTTGTCAATTTTTTGACATCTATTGTATATGTATGTTTGTATGTGTATACATATACACTTAAATGTCATGTAATTTTTTTCAGAAATGCGAGATAAAATGAGAAAATGGAGAGAAGAAAACTCACGAAATAGTGAGCAAATTGTGGAAGTTGGAGAAGAATTAATTAATGAATATGCTTCTAAGCTTGGAGATGATAGTAAGTTCTTTTATTCAGGTTCAGTACATGTCTCATTTATGGGCCTTTTTAACTTCTTTCATTTATGATTTTTATAGTTGTTGTGTTAATCTTCTCTGTGACTTCTCATCCCAAGAATTTTAATGATAGTTTATTTTGAGAAGGATTTATAATTGCCTGGTAGTAATAAACTATGGCATTTTGTTTTAAGGCTCACAGGGCTTCCAGATGTCTAGCCAAAATGTATTGTGTAAAGGACTCTTTGAAAATAGTAAAAGTATTAAATAGTTGGAGATTTTAATATTATATTAACATATTTTACACTGTTGAAACATATAAGAATGTGTTCTTAGTTTCAGAGATAATACAATAAATCAATTTTCAGTTCTAAGTAATATTCTCTAGAAATATCAGAAACTAGAATTCATTAATTTCAATTTGGGTTATTTTTTTAAATATTAAATTCAGATTTTTTCCCCCCCTATGTATATCTAGTTTGGATCATATATGAACAGGTGATGATTGCTGCACTAGACTATGGTCGGGATGACTTGGCCTTGGTAGGTATTTAAACGAAATATATGTTTAATTTGATTCATGAATTGTATACTGTAGTTAAGACTTAATGTATGGCTTATACTGAATGCTTTCTGTAGCTGGTTTTGAGTGCTGCTCTGAACAGTAAATGGAATTAACTAGATATTTTAGGACAAAGCATCTTAAATCTTTTTAATAGTCCTGAGAAGTAGGTATTTGCTATCCTAGTTTTACTGGAAAGATTTAGTTGCTGAAATTTATCTCCTTAGTAGGTGACTTACTCTGTTTTTTAGAGTTTAAAATAAAAAGCAAAGTTTGAAACAATTTTCCCTTTTGGCTGATTGAATGACTTTCATAGAATATAATATTCAATATTGTTACACAATCTTATAAACATATCTTACATAAGAAAATTATGAAATATAGAATATAACTTAAAATACTAATAATGTTTGGCCAGATGCAGTGGCTCACATCTGTCTGTAATGCCAGCACTTTGGAAGGCTGAGGGAGGTAGACGACCTGAGGTCAGGAGTTTGAGACCAGCCTGGCCAACACAGTGAAACCCCATCTCTACTAAAAATAAAAAAAATTAGCCAGGTATGGTGTAGCATGCCTGTAGACCCAGCTACTCAGGGGACTGAGGCAGGAGAATCACTTGAACCTGGGAGGCAGAGGTTGCAGTGAGCCAGGATTGTGCCATTGCACACTAGCCTGGGCAGCAGAGTGAAACTCCATCTCCAAAAAAAAAAAACCAAATACTAATACTGCTTTTAAAATAAGACTATAATGATAGCTATATTTTTGGACTCATGTGAGACATGAAGCTAAATGCTTTACATCATGCTTTTATTGAGCCCTCATAATTATTTCTTGATTTGTGTTTGATGTTACTCATTTTATAAATCAGGAAGCAGAGGCGTCTATTCTGTTGTTCCTATCATCTTGAATTCTTAAGTACCACTTCATGCTGTCTCCGTATTTAAACTGAAAGGAAATACACAAAAACAAAAAATAGAAATACCTGAAAAAAATTCACATCTGAATAGTATTGTCCTTTTCAAGGTTGGGTTGGCTATACATGTAATTCTAGAGAAGCTGTTACTGGTGAAAACATTTCACAAAACCTTTGTTGGATTACCTTCAGAACCTATAAGACATATCTCTTTTGGATATCCATAGAGGTGGCAGTTTTACATCTTGAGAGAAGTTTTTATTTATTTATTTTTTAAAACAGCCAAATACCACTTGACAAAGTAGGAGGTCAGATTAGATACTTTTGGTTAATAAAGCAGGATATCCAATTAAGCAGTAACTTTTTAATGGTTAAGATTATATATACAGTTAGCTTGCTTTATTGACCTAGTAATATGATTTTGCTTGATGTCAAATAAATGAACATATCTTCACTTTTGACTAGCTTGAATATTTTTCTTAGTGTGGCAAATTTCTGCCACAAACTTTGAAGTTATATTTCAAAATTTTATTAAAACTTACTTTATTAGCAGTTAATAGTTTCATCAGTAGTTAATGGCATTGTTTTGGTCACTGATGCATTAGGATGCTTCAGTGGACCATTTATATAATCTTTAACATTTCTAGGACTTCTGGAACTTAGAATCTTTCATATGTTGCTGAGAACGTAGATACTCAATAAATATTTGATTATTTAGTTAGTCAAGTTGATGAGTCAATTATAGATACTTGTTCAAAGAAATTGGTATTCCATCAATTTAGTGTCTGTATTTTCTGATCCCAAATCAGGATATATTGATTGAAAGGATGATTGATTAATATAAAATTTCAACAGGGCAGAATTAAACAGTGTTAATATTATTTGCTAGGAACTTGAGATGACTACTAAAAAAACTTGGTTTTTAACAGAAGAATGCTTCTGCTGTAATTACGAAGAAAACTCCAAGTGCTGTTGTCATTTAAGTAGGGGCCCAACACATCATAGACATAGTTTTTAAGGAAGAATAATATGATAGTACTACGTGAAGAATTATTAGCGGATATCATAATCTGCTCATTTTCCTGGTTAAGAGCATGATTGGTTTCTGAGAACTGATTGTTGCCTTCACTGTAATGTCATAGTTCTTTTAATCCATTATTTGTTACTGATTAATTTCACTTCATGTTATTAGAGGAGACTAAGGAAAATATTCAGAAAAATACGTTGAAGACTACATATGCCATTCTTTATTGCCTTTTTAATTTATATAATGTAATTATTACTCAGCTCTTATTTTTTCAGTTTTGTCTTCAAGAGCTAAGAAGACAGTTTCCTGGCAGTCACAGAGTCAAGCGATTAACAGGCATGAGATTTGAAGCCATGGAAAGGTAACCAAATCGTATCAACAGTGTGATCCTATTAAAACTGGCAGGCATAGAGCCTGTTAATCATGGTGGTGGTAATTTTTTTTTTATTTCAGACATACTAGAGTGTGAAGTACTGTCTCATTATGGCCTTAATTTACATTTTTTGAAGATTGATGAGGTTAAAAACCTTGTCATGTCTGCTTAGATATTCAGATAACTTTTTTTTTTTTTTTAAATTTTTATTTTTTATTGCATTTTAGGTTTTGGGGTACATGTGCAGAGCATGCAATACAGTTGCATAGGTACACACATGGCAGTGTGTTTTGTTTGCTTTCTCCCCTTCACCCACATTTGGCATTTCTCCCCAGGCTATCCCTCCCCACCACCCCCTCCCACTGGCCCTCCCCTTTTCCCCCCAATAGACCCCAGTGTTTAGTACTCCCTTCTCTGTGTCCATGTGTTCTCATTTTTCATCACCCGCCTATGAGTGAGAATATGCGGTGTTTCATTTTCTGTTCTTGTGTCAGTTTGCTGAGAATGATGTTCTTTCTGAAATACCTTCTTTGGTCTTTACCTGTTTACAAAATTGGGTTGTTTCACCTTTTTTACTGCTGATTTGTAGGAGTTCTTTATATATTCTGGATAAAAACTTTGTCAGATATATGTGCTGTGAATATTTCTCCCTATTTTCTTGCTTGAATATTTTATTTTCTGAATGATGCCTTGTGAAGTAGAGAAGTTTTTAATTCTGATGAAATTCAGTGTATCATTTTTTTAATGGATAGTGATTTTTGTGTCCTGTTCAATAATTCTTTTCCTACTCCAATGTCTCAACAATATTTGGTAGTGTCTTCTAGACAGTAGGAACATTTTAAATTTACGATTATTTTTAATTCATAAGAGTGCTTTCAGAGTATTTTTCTTTTTGCCATCTGCTTTTTAAAATTTTATTTTCAGTACTTCTAGATAATTGTGCTGTACAGTTCAACTGTGTCCTTATATTCTGCCTATTATGTCTATTAATTACTAATAAAGGAATATGGAAGTCTCCAACTTTAATAGCGGATTCATCTATTTCTCCTTGCAGTTCTATTAGTTTTTGCCTCACATATTTTGATGTTCTGTTGTTAAGGATTTTTGTTCTGTTAAGATTGTGTTTTTCATGAGTATGAGCCCTTTATATTATGTAATGCCCCTCTTTATCCCTACTAATTTTTCTTGCTCTAAAGTCAGCTTAAATGTAGCTCCTGAGCTTTCTTTTGATTACTATTAGAAAATATCTTTCTCCTTCCCTTTACTTTTATTCTGTTTTATCTTTGTATTTAGAGGGTTCTGTGTAGACAGCATTTAGTTGGGTCATGTTTGTAAATCCACTTTGATAGTCTCTGTCTTTTTATTGGTGTACTTACACTATTTACATGTAAAGTTATTAATATAGTTGTTTTAATATCTGCCATATTCATAAGTATTTTCTATTGATTGCTCTTGTTATTTTTTTCTTTTGTCATTTCTGTTTTCTGCCTTCTGATTTAATTGAGAATTTATAGGATTTCATTTTTTCTGTCTCTCAATATATCAGTTATACTTCTTTTTAAATTTTTTAAATAGCTGTCTGAGAGATTGCAATATATATTTAAAACTATCCAGTCGGCTTTCAAGTAATACTATACTGATTGGCAGGCAGGGCAAATAAATACCTTACAACAGAGTATTTTTAATTCCTCTCTTTTGTCATTTCTAACACTGCTTTCATTCATTTCACTTATTCATAAACCATAATCACCAAATACATTGTTGCTATTACTATTTTGAGCAAACTGTTATCTGATCAATAAGAATTAGAAAAATAAAAATTTTATTTTACCTTTATTCATTTTCTAATGTTCTTCCTTTCTTTATGTAGATCAAAGGTTCTGTCCAATATCATTTTCCTTTTATCTGAAGAGCAGCTTTTAACGTTTCTTGCCGAGCAGGTCTGCTAACAGCAAATTGCTTTAATTTTTGTTTGTCTGGAGTATATTTCTCTGTCACATTTAATGGACAGTTTCTCAGGATACAGAATTCTAAGTTGCTTCTCTATCCGAACACTTTAAATATTTCCCTCTACTCTTTTCTTGTTTGCATGGTTTCTGAAGAGAACTCTGATAAAATTCTTATCCTTGTACCTATATAAATAATGTGTTTTTTTCTTCTGGCATCTTTTAAAATTTTCTCTTTGTTTTTGATTTTCTGTAGTTTGATATACATAAGTATACATTTTTTGGTATTTATTCTGCTCGATATTCTTAGAGCTTACTTGATCTGTAGTTTTGTGTGTTTATTTTAAACATTAATACTTCAAATGTTTCCAATATTTTTTTTTCTTCTAATATTCTCATTACATATATGTTACATCTTTGGTAATTGTACACACTTCTTGGATATTGTGTTCTATTATTTAGTTGCTTTTCTCTTTTTATTTCAGTTTTGAAATTTTTATTGACAGTTCTTCAACCTCCTGACTCTTTTGGGTTATGTCCAATCTACTAATAAGCCCAAGCCCATCAAGGGCATTCATCATTTCTTTTACATTGTTTTGATTTCCAGTATTTTATTTTGATTTCTTTTTTAGAGTTTCGATCTCTCTGTTTACATTACCCACCTGTTTTTACATCTTGTTCATTTTTCCATGAAAATACATAACCATCGTTTAAATTCCTAGTCTGTTTATGACAGTCCTTCTGCTATGTCTGCATCTGGTTCTGATGCTTGTTCTGTCTCTTCAACTTGTGTGACTGGTTTTTACTTTTGTACTTTGGACAAATTGAATTAATTTTTTTTTAAAGGAAATCTTCTGTAAGTACTATATACATGATTTGCTTTACTTAACAAAGTAAGACTCTAGTAAACATTTAGTGTTCTATGAAGATGGGAAGACTTCTATAACAATTATAAATGCATTTAAATTAAAAGATTAAAGTCACTTTAATTATTTTCTGTATTTACTATTTGTCACCATATTTTTAAGGTAATAATTATAGATGTTTCTTTTTCTTTTTAAATAGATATGATGATGCTATACAGCTATATGATAGGATTTTACAAGAAGATCCAACTAACACTGTAAGTTGGCAGATTGTCTTGAAAAAAAACCTTAAGTTTAATTTAAAAGGTAAAATTATTTCATTGAGGAAATAATGGAAAGATACATAAGTAACCAGGTTTTATATTTTTAATTAAAATATTTTTCTTTTAAATTTTAAATAGTTCACGATGAGCCACATTTTATTTAAAATAGATTTAAGACTCCAATAAAATTTTACTTCTAGAAGATATCTTATTAGAAAAGGGGCTAGTTGAGATTTCAAAAGAGTAGACTATGTGTTTGCATAAAATATTTTGTATTTTATGAAAAACTAACTTGTTTAGTTTGTGCAGTTACTTTTTACTTGTCTTAATGAAAAATAAAAGAAGCCATTTCAGTAATTAGTATATGGAATTAATGAAGGCATTTTGTTTTGTTTTTGCTTTTCTCTGCCTTATACGTGAGTAAGAAGAAATATATACCCCTTTAATTTACCATAATTTTGAAAAAGTGTTTTAGTTTATTGGATAGAATATTTGTTCTAAAGCTACCTATAAAGTAGTATATTTGTTTGAAAAATACCCCGGTGAATTCTGTTTTTAATGCTGAGAGCCCTGTGGTTTATTCCCATAATAGCTTCCCTCAGACTTAACCTTTCAACTAAAAAGTTACAGAGAGACTTTAGTCATTTTAATGTTTCATGATGAGCCACATTTTATTTTAAATAGATTTAAGACTCTCCAATAAAATTTGACTTCTAGAAGATATCTTATTAGAAAAGGGGGCTAGCATAAGTCATTTTAATGTTTTGTGTCAGTATTTCCATGCACACATATGCCTGCTGAAAGAAAATATTTTTAAATTTTTTAAACAAAAACCAGGTTGAGTTTTTTTTCTTTTATAGAAGAAGAAATTGTTATATTAACACAATAAAGATATATGAAGTTTTTCTATTATTTGGCAAGTATTTCTTTTAAAATAGACATTTTAAAAATCTTATATAATATTGGACTATAGATTTTAAGATGTAAAATGCTTGGTAATTGAACAACAGTGACTTGATGTCTGTAGTTCCTAGAGCACATTTATCTCAGGCATTGATCATAATTGATATTCTGTAATAATACTTATGTATTATAGTAGTTGGTATATTCCTTAAATGATAGTTGCTTGCTTTTGATCTTTTCCCACCCCAGGGAGATTTTCTTTTTTTTTTTTTTTTTTTTTTTTTTGGGACGGAGTTTCGCTGTTGTTACCCAGACTGAAGTGCAAGGGCAGGATCTCGGCTCACCACAACCTCCGCCTCCTGGGTTCAAGCAATTCTCCTGCCTCAGCCTCCCGAGTAGCTGGGAATATAGGTGTGCACCACCATGCCCAGCTAATTTTTGTATTTTTAGTAGAGATAGGGTTTCACCTTGTTGACCAGGATGGTCTCGATCTCTTGACTTCGTGATCCACCCGCCTTGGCCTCCCAAAGTCCTGGGATTATAGGCATGAGCCATCGCACCCCGCCCCCAGGGAGATTTTCTGTGAAAACTTCCTAGGGTTGTGTGTGTGTGTGTGTGTGTGTGTGTGTGTGTGTGTTAGTCTGTTTTCATGTTGCTGATAAAGACATACCTGAGACTGGGTAATTTACAAAAGAAAAGTGTTTATTGGACTTACAGTTGCACATGGCTGGAGAGACCTCACAATCACAGCAAAAGGCAAGGAGGAACAAGTCACATCTTCTGTGGATGGCAGCAGGCAAAGGAAGTTTGTGCAGGGAAACTCCCATTTTTAAAACCATCAGCTCTCATGAAACTCACTCACTATCACAAGAACAGTATAGGAAAAACCCACCCCCATAATTTAGGCACCTCTCACTAGTTCCTCCCACAACATGTGCGAACTGTGGAGTTACAATTCAAGATGAGATTTGGGTGGGGACATAACCAAACGATATTCTTCCCCACGCCCCTCTCAAATCTCATATTTTCATAAATTCAAAACCGATCATGCCTTCCCAGCAGTCCCACAAAGCCTTAACTAATTTCAGCATTAACTCAGAAGTCCACAGTCCAGCATTTTTTCTGAGACAAGGCAAGTGTTCTCCACTTATGAGCCTGTAAAATCAAAGGCATGTTAGTTACTTCAATGGGGGTACAGACATTGGATAAATACCGCCTTTACAAATGGGAGAAATTAGCCACAACGAAGAAGCTATGGGCCCCATGCAAGTCTGCAATCCAGCAGGGCAGTCAAATCTTAAAACTCCAAAATGATCTCCTTTGTCTCCATGTCTCACATTCAGGTAATGCTGATGCAGGAAGTGGGTTCCCATGGTCTTGAACAGCTCCATCCCTGTGGCTTTGCAGGGTACATCTTCCCTCCCAGCTGCTTTCACAGGCAGGACATGAGTGTCTGTAGTTTTTACAGGTGCATGGTGCAAACTGTTGGTGGATATACCATTCTAGGGTCTGGAAGATGATGGCCCTCTGTACAGCTCCACTAGGCATTCCCTGGGTCGGGACTCTTTGTGGGGGCTCCTACGCCACATTTCACTTCCACGTTGCCCTAGCAGAGGTTCTCCGTGAGAGCCCTGCCCCTGCAGCAAACTTTAGCCTGGACATCCTGGCATTTCCATACATACTTTGAAATCTAGGCAGAGGTTCCCAAACCTTAATTCTTGACTTCTGTGCACTCACAGGCTAAAAGCATGTGGAAACTGCCAAGGCTTGGGCTTGCATCCTCTGAAGCTAGGCTCGAGCTCTGTGTTAGCTCTTTTCAGCCACGACTGGAGGGCTGGTATGCTAGACACCAAGTCCCTAGGTTGCACAAAGCATGGGACCTTGGGTCTGGCCCATAAAACCACCTTTTCCTGTTAGGCTCTAGGCCTGTGATGGGAGGGGCTGCCATGAATACCTCTGACATGCCCTGGAGTCATTTCCTTTGTTGTCTGTGGAATTAACAATTGGCTCCTTGTTACCTCTGCAAATTTCTGCAGCTGGCTTGAATTTCTCCTCAGAAAATGGGATTCTTTTCTTTATAAATAAATAAATAAATATATATATATGTATATACATACACACACACACATATATATATACACACATACACATACATGTATATATATTTTATTGCATTTTAGGTTCTGGGGTATATATGAAGAACATGCAGGATTGTTGCATAGGTACATACATGGCAATGTGGTTTGCTGCCTCCATCCCCATCACCTATATCTGGCATTTCTCCTTATGTTATCCCTCCCCAAGTCCCTATTCCCCACTGTCCCTCCCCTAGTCCCCCCACCAACAGACCTCAGTGTGTGATGCACCCCTCCCTGTGTCCATATGTTCTCACTGGATCTGACCTAGTCCAATGAATTTGAGGCAGATTTTCAGTAGACAAAGCTACCCTCACATGATTCTTTACTTTCCACTTCATTTTACCTTTCATTATTGCAGCTCTAGCGACTATCCATCTTTTGTTTCTGCATGAAACAGGCTCAAGTAACCCGTCAGGAATGACCTCAGAACCTGATAAAATCTCATTTTACCCATACTATACAACTAAAGACATCCTCGGATTAATCTTCCTCCTATGCCTAACAAGCTTAACCCTATTTACACCCGATCTACTAACAGACCCAGACAACTACACACTAGCTAACCCCCTAAACACCCCACCCCACATCAAACCGGAATGATACTTCCTATTTGCATACACAATCCTACGATCTATCCCCAACAAACTAGGAGGCGTCCTAGCTCTCGTACTATCCATTCTAATCCTAATACTCATCCCCTTAACACATCTATCCAAACAACAAAGTATAGCATTCCGACCAATCACCCAAATCCTATTCTGAACTCTAGTAGCCAACCTACTCACACTTACATGAATCGGGGGTCAACCAGTTGAATACCCATTTATTGCTGTCGGCCAAACAGCATCTATTATATATTTTCTTATCATTATCACCCTAATTCCCCTCTCCGCTCTAATCGAAAACAAATTACTCAAATAATAAACATCCTTGTAGTGTAAATTAATAATCCGGTCTTGTAAACCAGAAATGGAGAACGTCTACTCCCCAGAACAATCAGGGAAAGAATATCTAATTCCACTATCAACACCCAAAGCTGAGATTCTGATATTAAACTACTCCCTGAATAACAAAGCTTGATCTTATTGATGGCTCAGCAATAAAGTACTTTGCAAGTATGCACAACATTTCAACCCCTTATGTAATTAGTGCATTAATGCTTTACCCCATGAATAATGTCCAGCACTATAAATGTTTAAATATGCATAGTACATTAAACCAAGACATGCATAGCAACCTCCACAAACATGCTTATAAGCAAGAACTATAATTATACATTGGACTATAGCACATAAAATTCCTATACCACATAAAACGTCTCAAACATGAATATCACCCGCCAACTACAATCATTTATTGTACATTTGTACATTAAAACGTTGATTGGACATAGCACATTTTAATTAGACAGTCAACCCAACCATGGATAGCCACCAAACGCACTTGGTCTCTTAATCTACCAACCTCCCTGAAACCAGCAACCCGCCCACATCTGCTAGTATTCTCGCTCCGGGCCCATATAGATAGGGCTTGGTTATACTGAAACTATATCTGGCATTTGGTTCGTACCTCAGGGCCGTAGGTCAGATTCAATGTAGGGGATAGCTGATAGGAGGTTTGTAATTACTGTAGCCCCCCAAAATGATATTTGGCCTCATGGGAGGACATAGCCTATGAATCCTGTGGCTGTGAGAACACCCTCCTATGAGTGAGAACATGTGGTGTTTGATTTTCTGGTCTTGTGTCAGTTTGCTGAGAATGATGGTTTCCAGGTTCATCCATGTCCCTACAAAGGACACGAACTCATTGTTTATTATACCTGCATAGTATTCCATGGTGTATAATGTGCCACATTTTCCCTGTCCAGTCTGTCATTGATGGGCATTTGGGTTGGTTGCAGGTCTTTGCTATTGTAAACAGTGCTACAGTGAATATACATTTGCGCGTGTCTTT